CTATAATGAAACCAATTTACCATAACCTGATTGCTATAAAAAAGGGTAAAGTTTGTATAGCATATTTCTAGTCACAGAAACCTCACCAAATGTGTAAATAATGATCCAAATACTTCTAATATTAAACAATAATTTGTATTCCCTCATTCACTTTTCAGCACACATATTCCAATTCAGGGTTGTGAGCCTTGTGGCCAGACCTGTCCTGCAGCTCAGGGAACAAAATGGAACAAACTTTGGACAGGATACCCTTCCATAGTTGGGTGCACACACCTCCACACAAGACCAGGACCATTTAGACATTCCAGTGAATATAATGTGCATGTCTTTGGAAGGTGGGAGGAAACCAGAGGGAGTACCCAGAGAAAATCCAAGCAGACATGGGAACACCATGCTGACTCCACACAGATGGTGTCCCCAACAGGGAATTAATTTTTTTCTCGTCATTGTTACAAAAAAAATGTTATTTGAGGGCCTACTGTAGCTTGTTGCAGCTACTAAATGGCAAGACTGTGATTTGAATGTAGATTTTCTGACCCTCAGAGCCCATACCTTTTCACCCACTCTCCCCTGAGGAGCTTTTGAAATTGCCATGATCTTTTATAATTGAGTTGGGGGTAGCATTTGGGAAGTGGTAATTTAAAAAGCTCCCCAACAAGGTCACTTTACTAATATGTAGCAGAGATTATTTCTAGTTGCACCATATTCTCTGTGTCTGACAGGCAGCAGAGAAGTTTGAGAAAAATTTATGGAGCCACACTGATAGCCTTGATAGGATTTTATAAAAGGATGCCTGAGAAAAGAAAACAGCAGATCCTGACAGTGGAGAGGAAAATCAGTGATGTTTGCCAAAGATAGAACACTGTTTTTGGAGAGGAGGAAATTTAGATACCAGCGAAAGCTTACCAGTCTATATACAGCTTAGTTTGGGGGAAGAAGAGGCATGGGACTATATTCAGCCAAACCAGTTTTTATGTCCTGTCTTGGAACACCCATGTCTGTGTCCCTTATAATAATTGTGGAAGTAAGCCAGAAGTTAAGAGAATATAAAATAGACACTGGGTTGTTAGAAAAGTCATGACACATTTTTGCAACAGAAAACAGAGAAAAAATACATCATGACTTTTCTGACAACCAAATATCTATTGATATATACTTGATATTTTATAAATACTACCACTCTACATCTTGAACATATAAAAGTGCTTAACTTAACTTATAATTATCTTAGTAATTTCATATAGTAGAAATTTTCCTCTCCTTACCTTTACAGTCATGCTACACCCACCCTAAAACAAAAGGGCTGTTAATTTTAGATATTTGATATGTACCATATTACACTGCTTCCATGTAAGCAGAGCCAGTAATTTTTTTTTAAGATTTATTTATTTATGCATACAAGAACTGCGGTATAGGCCAGAAGTGTCTGGGGGGGTAAGAGGATTCACCAGAGACAGAATGGGGAACAGAACAGACAGATTGACTGAAATACACTGCTGAGGGGAGCAGCGGGCGAGTCAGGAGAGGTCTGCTGCGCTATGTGGGTTGCTCCCTGGCTGGGGTTCGAACTCATGCTGCAGTGGCTATGGATGGCTACATAGGATGCGCCATTAGGGAGGCCCGCCAGTAATTTTTTTGAACATCAAATAAGAAAAATGATGTCTAAAAAAAATAATCTTAGTGTTGCTATTTACTGAGTCCTTAGTTAAATGACTTAAAACTTTCAACTAAAGTTCTACTTTAAAGAAATATATTACTTAGGACCTTAGAATTTTTACATGATAGTAAAATATGACATTTGCTGTAGCTTTCCAGATGGTTGCATTAATTAAGATACTTCAAAAATAGATGTTTGTGGGGCCTCCTCAGTGGCGCAGCGGTTGAGCGCTGGGTTGTAAAGCTGCCTGCAACCTCTGCAGCGCCGGTTCAATCCCCAGCCTCCAGCGAGGGTCCCACATGGCGCGCAGACCTCTCCTGCTGCCCGCCGCTCCCCTCAGCTGTGTACTTCGTCAGTCTGCCTGTTCTGTTCTCCGCTCTGGCTCTGGTGAATTCTCTCTCCCTCCCGTGCTTCTAACTGTACCCAGTGCTTGTATAAATAAATAAATCTTAAAAAAAAAAAAATTTGTAATGCTGGAAAGGCAAAACTTTAAAACAAAAAAAAAATAGATGTTTGTTGTTTTGGGTTGTTTGTATTTTTTTCCCCCACATGAAGTGGTTTCAGAGGGCCCAAGACTTCTATTCTGTCATGACTCAGCTCCCAATATCACATCCATTTACTAGCTAAAGGAAAGACATTCCTACCTCATTGTCACATGCAAGGAAACTGGGAAATTTAGTCTAGCTGGCCAGCTATAGGAAAAAAAGGAAGAACACTGATCTTTGCTACAGTAGCAAGCAAGTGATAGGGGTTAACCCTTCTAGGGTGTGACTTTAACAACACTCTAGTCATCTCTTATTTCATTCCCTTTTTTGCTGATGCCTGAAATTTCAATGTTTAGAGAAAGCACTGTAAGACATAAGATTGAGTTCTGGTTACTTTTGATGATTTCAAATGTCAATATGAGTTTTGATCTCTTTCTGAGAATTAATTATGATAAGTAGAAAAATATTGTAAGAATGAAGATATGACATCTGATGGGGTTTGCTTTTGGGATTGGGGTTGGGTTAGAGGTACTGAAAATATATGACTAACATTTTTTGCTTTTGATAAATGTTGAAAACAATGTAGGCAGTTACTTAGGATCAGCATTTTAGTTGATGACATTAATGATGGAGTATATAATTTGAGATATCAAAATAAGTGAGATCCATGTCTTTCAATTTTTACAAAATTACTTTGTGTCTAACTATTGAAATATCACTGTCTAATTCTTTGCTCTCTTAACTTTGATTTTATCGCTGATATGTCATCTGTGTTTGCTTGGTTTTCCTAAAATTATTTCCACATCTACCACCTACAACTAATTTGTGCTCTGTGTGTATATGTTTTTCCTAATCCCAAGGATGAGTGTCTCTGCTCTGTAGTAAATTTGGGGATTCTAATCTATATAGAGGAATAAGGGAGTCTTAATATTCCCCTCCTTGTATTTAGTTTTCAGTATCTTTCCTTTTTCTTGCTTTGACATTAGTTATCTTCAGGTGGAAATAGAAGTAGATAAAAATTTTTGTTGGCCGGTCACATCCCTGTTCCACCATGCATGGTCAATCTATCACCAGGTCTTTATTTAAATTTATATCCAGGGCTTCCCTGGTGGCACAGGGGGTTAAGACACAACCTAGGAAGCTATCTGCAGCCACTGCAGCACAAGTTTGATCCCTGGCAGGGGAGCTACCCACATGGCACAGCAGACCTCTCCTGACTCGCCCGCTGCTCCCCTCAGCAGTGTAATTCAGTCGATCTGCCTGTTCTCTTCTCCACTCTGTCTCTGGTGAATCCTCTCACCACCCCCCCCCAAACACACACACCTCTGGCCTGTACATTATGCTCTTGTATGCATAAATAAATAATCTTTTAAAAAAAATAAATTTATATCCAAAGATTCCCCATACTATGTAATTGGGGACATTTTTAAAACACAAATGAATCTACAGCAGAGGTCACCAAGCTGTGGGTTTCCCTATTTTGTAAATAAAGTTTTATTGGAACACATTACCTGTTTGTTTTCATTATTATTTATGACCATTGTTGCACCTAAAGGGCAGCATTGGGCCTCCCCGCTGGCACAGCGGTTGAGTGCTGGGTTGCGAAGCTGCCCCCAGCCTCTGCAGCACCAGTTTGATCCCTAGCGCCAGGCAAGGGTCCCGCATGGCGCGACAGACCTCTCCTGCCGCCCACTACTCCCCTCACAGTGTACTTCAGTCTGTCTGCTCCGCTCCCCGTTCTGGCTCTGGTGAATTTTCTCACCCTCCCGTGCTTCTGACTGTATACAATGCTTGTATAAATAAATATTTTTTTTTTTTAAAAAAGGGCAGCATTGAATACTGGGGTCAACCTAAAATATTTTTCGTCTTAGCCTTTTTCTTAACAGTTTGCCGATCCCTAGTCTAAAGTTTATTATGTAGCATTGAAGGGGAAATCAAAAGCACTTGGAAAAATCTTAATTTCAATACAGAGGACTGTGAAAAAAATGTTCAATTTAGGATGCCAATAGTAAATGATTGAGGAAAATAATAGTTAAGTATAGCATTGTTAGTTAGTTTTTCTTTCCTTATGTATTCATCAAATACCATTCGGATCTTAAAACACAGCCCTTTGCTAGGTGCTGAATGAAATGTTAGATACAATTTTTTCCTTCTAGAGAGCAGTTTTTGTAAACATAAAAACTAACTTTGTGAACTACTAGATTTCATCTACTGTTCATATTATGGCCAACCACAGTGATTTTTCAGTTTATAAAGCTTATTTTCACACTCAAAATTTTTTTTTTTAATGGCAAAATAAACATCTTTTATTTGTACTTATATAGTCTAAACCAACTAAGCCAAGGGGTACTGTTATCAGGATGCATCAACACAAAACAACTTTCTAAAATATGCACAAACAAATTAGGGGGTATAATAACACAGAACCAAGTGGACAGAGGTAATCAATGAAGCACATCATAACTTAACCCTTCACCTTGACAACTGAGGTTTTTAACTAGTCTCCCAATCCCAGAAAAGAATCCTTCATATTACATAGCTTTGTGTTTTAGCTTCCTATTTTTGAGGTTAGATACTAGATCCCAAAGATATTCAGACAAGTATCATATCTAGATATCTATAGTAGAGACAACTTTTATGATGCCCTGCAGTCGAGCCCTCAGAAACCTCTGAAACTTCGGATTCAGTATTCAAATGTGCAGCCCCCACCTCACCCCACCCTACCCACTCACACTCGTTGGCACACTAGGCATGTTGAGAACCAGGCTATAAAGGCAGAAATACAGAACTCTTAAAAGAAAAATCCTAGGAGAAGTAACAGCCACTGCCCAAATTGAGGATATATAAATATACCCATTTTCACACATCTTCAGACTGTGCATTCATGGAATAATTCGGGAATAAATCCATGATTTGCTGGGTACTAAAATACTTAGTGGGTGGCTGTATAATGTTATGGTTTTCCCCACAAATTTCCAAGGTGGCCTCCAAATCACTGAGAGAGAATTTTTTTTTTTTTTTAATTTTTTTTTTTTTATAGAGGCATGTTTTTATTTATTTATTTGTTTGTTTGTTTGTTCGTTCGTTTTTGTTTATACATGCACTGGGTACAGTCAGAAGCGCGGGAGGGTGAGAGAATTCACCAGAGCCAGAGCAGGGAGCAGAGCAGGCAGAAGGACTGAAGTACACTGCTGAGGGGAGCAGCGGGCGGCAGGAGAGGTCTGCACGCCATGTGGGACCCTCCTCCGGTGGCCGGGGAGCAGCCGGGGATCGAACCGGCGCCGCAGAGGTCGCCGGCAGCTTCGCAACCCAGCGCTCAACCGCTGCGCCACCGGGGAGGCCCTGAGAGAGAAATTTTGTTGGAGCTGGAGCAAGGGTGGCAGGGGGTCCTCCCCAGAGCTGAGGAATGAACTGTTCCAGGTCTGATGGTTCCAGCTCTGGTTGTTCCAAGGCTGAGCACACCAGGGCTGGTGGCTCCAGGGCTGGCTGCCCCAAGGTGGGTTACTCCAGGTCTGGTTGCTCCATATTGGAAGGCTTTCAGGAGCGTTCATCAGGCAACCCTGGTGATAGGAATAGAGACTGGTGTAGTCTGTAGGTGCCGAGAGCTGAGTCACACCGCTCTTTGGCCAGCTGCTCCTCTGCCACCTCTTACATTTCATTCTCTGATTTTGGAACCAGGTCTTTACCTGTTTGTAACTGAGGTTCAGGAGACTGGAAAGTTCTTGCATCTGCTGAAGGCTGAGGTATTTCTGTCTTTGAAATCTGTCATTGAGCACACACAGCTGGGTCTGTGAGAACACAGTTCTGCTCTTCTGTTTCTTGACCGGGACCCTATCTTCCCTCTTCCCTGTGTTGTTCTCTCCAGAAGTGGAGAGGAGTTTGACTCTGGGACTGGTGGCAGAATCAGGGCTGTCCTGAATAAGCAGATCCATGGAGGAAGGAAGAGGAGAGACATTCTCCATGTGGGGCATCTCAGCGGAGGGCTGAAGCAAGGATGGATAATTTTCTTCAGATTCATAAACCTCAGGCATTGGCGAAGACTCTCCAGAATTGGATGTTTCTGGGCAAGGCAGGCTTTGGGGACTAACTGGATCCATGCTCATGTTGTAGAGTTGAAGGAGAGGGGAAAAAACCAAAGAGCTAGATTGTCTGAAAGACCCAGGTTTAAGTGTCTAGGAGGAAGAGCTTAAGAGAAATATCACAACTTCTATAGGTGTAAAAACATTCAAAAAAGAGGGGGTGAAGTGAGCCCACACAGCAGTAAGAGGAGCCAAGAAACCTAATGTAGCCTCACACTCAAAATTTTTAACAAACTGCTTTGAATAATCATTTAAAGAAAGTTGGTACTGAAAAAATTAATAAGCAGCTAATTCATAGTGGTTTAGGGTCATCCCTTAAGCCAGTGGCAAAATTGAAGGTGATGTGTGACTAAACAAACTGTAGTCTAGACAGGGTAATGGCTTAGATTATTTTTAGCCCGGAATAAATTTCTTATACCATGTCAGCATTTAAGGTTTTGTGTTACATGTTTACATTTAATGTTTTGTCTTAACATGTTAATCATTTACATATTAAGGCAGGATGCTGCTACTAAATGACTTCCTGTTTAAAATTCTACTAGTTGAACTATTGACATGGGTAAGTTTAATGACTGAGTTGCAGAAGGAGATTAAGTTAAAAATTAAGAAATTGAGAGCCTTGGCCTCCCCGGTGGCGCAGCGGTTGAGCGCTGGGTTGCGAAGCTGCCCGCAGCCTCTGCAGCGCTGGTTCGATCCCCAGCTGCTCCCCAGCCACCGGAGGAGGGTCCCACATGGCGCGCAGACCTCTCCTGCCGCCCGCTGCTCCCCTCAGCAGTGTCTTCGGTCCTTCTGCCTGCTCTCCTCCCCACTCTGGTTCTGGTGAATTCTCTCACCCTCCCGCGCTTCTGACTGTATCCAGTGCTTATATGTATAAATAAATAAATCTTTAAAAAAAAAAAAAAGAAAGAAATTGAGGGCCTCCCTGGTGGCGCAAGGGGTGAAGACGCAACTTATGAAGCTGTCCACAGTCTCTGCAGCACCAGTTCCATCCCCAGGCCTGCCAGGGAGCAGCCCACATGGTGCAGCAGACCTCTCCTGTCTCACCCGCTGCCCTCAGCAGTGTACTTCGGTCAGTCTGCCTGTTCTGTTCCCCACTCTGTCTCTGGTGAATCCTCTCACCACCCCCCCACACCTCTGGCCTGTACCCCAGCTCTTGTATGCATAAATAAATCTTTTTCAAAATTAAGAAATTGATATTAGCTCTTAAAATGTCTCAGACATCTTTCACTCATTAATCTACAGGTATTTCTCAAGAAATGGCTGTGTTCCAGCCAGTATTGTAGGTAATTTCTCCTGTATTTTCTTTGATACATTTTTAGTTATCTGTCTTTTTTTATTTCCATTTAGAACAGATCATAGATATAGATGATTTGATTAACAAGAGTCATTTTTTTAACCTGATTATATTTTGTGATATAGCCAGCAGAGTTTACCTGCTGTTCTCCTCCCAGACTTAACCTTATGACCTTCCTTTATTCCTCTTGATAAAAATATGTGTACATAGTATATAGGTTGACCTTCATGTTAAACCAGTATTGTATGTTAGCTATGCGTAACACCACATCTAAACTTAATGACTTAAAACAGTGATTTATTTCCCATCATTTTGTGGGTTGGCTGGTCTACTTTTCTGCTTGTGTCCTGTGCTCATTTATCTAGCAGTTTTCCACTGGAGAATTTGCATGTCTGATGTCTGGCATTAAATGCCAGGCTATTCCTTGGGATGCCTTTACAATAGCTTCTCATTCTCCAGTAGGCTAGCTGACTTCCTCATATAACAGTCTTAGAATAGCATTCCAAAAAGATGAAGATGGAAGTTGTAGGATTTCTTGAGTTTTTGGTTCTGAAGCTTATTTGCCACTTCTACCTCATGCTGTTGGTCAAAGCGAGACATGATGCTAGTCCAGATTCAAGGAGTGGGGACTTCCACTCCATTTTTGATGGGAGGATTTTCAAAGATTTTATGGCAACATTTTTCTACCATACATTATTCATTAGTTAGGAATCTTCAAATGCCATAGCTAGTGGTTTAGCTGTGACTTGGCTGACTGTAATAAGCAGAATAGTGACTCCCCAGAAATATTGACTTCCTAATAACCGGAACCAGTGAGTTTGTTACATGGCAAAAATGATTTCACTGGTATGATTAAGTTAAGGATCTTGTGATATGAAGATTGACCTGGATTACCTGGGTGCAACAAATGTAATCACAAGACTCCTTTTAAATGAAACAGGCAGGGGAGTCAGTAATAAGAGATGTGACAAAGCAGAGGTCTTAGTGATACAGTTATAACTTTGAAAATGGGGGAAAAGACAATGAACTAAAAAATGCAGGCGATCTCTTTGAAGCTAGAAACGGCAAGGGAGTGAGTTCTCCCCTAGATACCTCAGAATGACTGAAGACTGATGACAACTTGATTTAGCCCAATAAGACCAAATTTCAGACTTAAGACCTCCAAAATTGTAAGATAGTGAATCCATGTTATTATTTTTACTATATGACTTACTACTTTTTCCCCTTTTGATTTGTTTTTTTTTACCAGCACCATCCCTTAATACTCTTTTGATCATTTCTCTGTCCCCTTTACTCTTATTCTCAGAAACCTAACTTTATTAGTGTCCCCTAGGTTTTTTTTTCCTTTTTTAAAATGTATATATATTTTACATCACTGTTCATTTTAAACAATGCTTGCTTCCCCTCCCCCTCTCAGGTGTAGTCCCCATAGAATTTCCTTCACCAATTCACCAAGTATAAACCAGAAACATCCTGTAGGGGAGGAGAGAGAGGGATTTGAGGGAGTTAGGGAGGAGCAATGGGGACTGTGGTGATAGTGTCCCCTAGTTTTTAATAGGTATTTTGTGTTGTTAAATTAGTTGCCTTGTGAAAGTTTAATACTTGTTTTTGTCATTCTGACTTGCTTTACTACCCATAATTCCCTTGAATTCCTTGCATTTCACTTCAGACATTCACCATTCAGTAGAATGTCTTTTTAATATTCTTATGTTTTCTTTGCCTTGTAAAAGCTTTAAATTTAAGGTAATCCCAAATATTTTTGTTTTTATTTTCCTTGTCATTGGGGTTGAGTCTCCAAAAAGAGTTTTTTCATTAATGTCATGAAACATATTGCTAATGTTTCCTTTTATGTATCTTATTATTGTGGGCCTTACATCTGAGTCTTTAATACATTCATTTATTTTTTTTTCAAGTTAAATGTTTATTATTGAACTGTTTCTTATTTTCCTGTCAGGCTGTTGCTTCACCTTACAGAAACAGCAAATGCAATATATTGTAAAATTAAGATAGTAGTGTTCATCTGACACTGTAAAACTTTTCTCTGCTGCTAGTTAAAGATCTTTCCAGTGAAAGATCATTAAGTACTTTGACCCAAAGCCAGGCATAAATATAAGCAAGTTGCAAAGTTATATAAGGCTTAAGATAACAGTGTTATCCTTGAATTACATAATTTTTATGACTGGTTTTTGCCAGATAACTTCAGATTTCTGAATATTATAATTGGAGCCTAGCCTAAAAATAATAGGGTGTTGTGGAAAAGATGCATATTGTGTTTATCTGTAATAATTAGAAAGTTAAGGAATATTTTCTTCCAGTCACATTGTTATATATTTCCTTTTTTCTATTAGTATTGCTACAAGTTGGGACTTTTCTTGCTTCTTAACGTGAGCCTATATTGCAGTTATCTTCCATTTTAAGATCCTTCTGGCAGTATCCCATGGATCGGTATAGCTTGTATCATTTTCATTAGTCTTGAGGGTTTTTTTATTTCTACTTTAATTCCATTGCTATTAAGCAATATATTGTTTAGTCTTCATATAATTATGGGGTTTTTTTCCTGTTTTTTTTTGTTGTTGTTGTTGTTGCTTTTTTTTTTTTTTTTTTTTTTTAATTTGGAGTGTTATAACCTTGTGCATATGTACACATGTTCTACTCACCCCGCACCAGTGGGTTTTGTTTTTTAAGTAGATTTCTAGCTTTATGACATTATGATCAGAAAAACAACTCTTATGAATCCAGTCTTCCTAATTTATTGATGATTGACTTGTGTCCCAACAGATAGTCTATACTTCAAAATGTTCCATATGAAAAATGTATATACAGCGGTTTTGGGGTTGAGTATTTGTTAAACCTATTTGTTCTAGCTTCTTATTTAAAGCTGTTGTTTTCTTATTTTTTTCTCTGTCTCCCTTCATCAGAATTCAGCACCACTGACTTCTCACTACCCCTCTCCTTCTAGTCCACAAAGATGTTTACCACGGGTGTAGAAAAATAATTTTCATGGAAGACATGGAGTGTTTATCTTACTTTGAGTTAATAAACTGTAAAGGATTTTTTTTTCCCAAATTAATTTTTGGGTTGTTTATCCTTGTTACTATCTAATATCTTTCCATTTTGAGAAAAGGCTAACTCCTCAGGCTCGACAGGTATAAAGGTTTTTTTTTATTGTTTTTTTTAAAGATTTATTTATTTATGCATACAAGAGCTGACGTACAGGCCAGAGATGCAGGGGCTGAGAGGATTCACCAGAGACAGAGTGGGGAACAGAACAGGCAGACTTATCGAAATACATTGTTGAGGGGAGCAGTGGGCGAGACAGGAGAGTTCAGCTTGGCCATGTAGGTTGCTCTCTAGATGGCCTGGGATGAAACTCATGCTGCAGAGGCTGCAGATTGCTTCATAGTGAGGTGCTTACCTTCATAGTGAGGTGCTCCCTTGCGCCACCAGGGAGGCCCTCGACAGCTATAAAGTTATGAGAGCTAGGTGATGAATACTTTAGAGTCTATTGGCTTGTGATTAAAATTTAGCCTACAAAGAGTTTCATACTTTATTGTCAGACCTTTGACCCCCATAATCCCCAGCAAGGGTTTGGAAGCAATAATATCATCCATTTATCACGCATATTAACAATAGTTTGATTTTCACAACTTGTGATTCTGGGTGTCAAAGTCTAAAATATATTTTAAGTATTTTAATAATAAATGTGTAATGGCACAATTTCTTCTGATGTCACAAGATTCTTTCTGTTTTGAGAAGAAATCTTCACCTTCAGGTGATCCTTTCAAATGAGCAAATGCAATCTGTTGGGTTTTTTTAAGATTTATTTATTTTTATACAAGAGCTGGGGTACAGGCCAGAGGTACGGGAGGGTGAGAGGATTCACCAGAGACAGAGCAGAGAGCAGAACAGG